GAACATGCAGTGATTTTCCCTACTTACATTCCTGTGGGTCATAAAACCAGTGATATCAGCATTAGTTGCCATGGGGACCAGGGGGGCCTGGTGTCGTTGCAGACATCCTGGCACCCAGTTTATTGGGTGAGGGGACTGTGACGATTTGTTAATCTAATGAATAACTGATTTGTTAAATCAAATGAAAAATTGTGTTTTTGATTGGTCCAGACGCTACACCTCGTTATCCCGTGTTTAAAAACCCCAGTCCTTTCAGTTAGTGTTGTTGGTTCTTGAATGTCGTACACTGAATGTGCACCCGTTGATGTCGGTGAATGTCTCCATGTACTCTGTGTGTTTTACTGGTTCCCATTAAAGTCTCCTACGTTTATGTACTCCTGGTCTCCTCGTTCCTCGCTCCCTCACAGTCACAGCGTGACACTACCTCTGTGTACATTTTAGTCATATACTAACACAGCTTTGTTAAACAGTGAAAGTATTCTGTAAACCTTCAGTATCATGTCAATATGTTGCGAAGGACTTTAAACTGGTTACTGTTGGTAGACTGAAGCAATATTTAGAGCAATAGCTCCATCTCCTGGGGCCAGCTGCATAAACACAGCCACTATATTAAGACTGTCTGACCAACTAACAGTTAGCCAATTAGTCAAAATTAATTAATTTACAAGCAATTTACATTTTTATGTAACTGACATTAAAAAAGTCCAAAAGTAGAAAATTAGATTAACTTTAAAAACTAGTCTAAGTAGTTTATGCGTCAATAGTTTTAGGTGTTTTTCAGTTCTGTCAAGGGATGTGTTGACATTGTTAGATTGTTCTTAGGGCTCAACAAAAGTGGGACATCCAGTTAAATGAGACAAATAAGTTTCACGATCAATTGCATTTGCTTTTTTCTGTGTTGGATTTAAAGAAAATTTAAAACAACTTGTTCCCTGTTGATGGTCCTCGAGGGAGGTTTTGGGATTTTGCTAAGCTATTGCTCACACAGAGTGGTTTCTCTTTCACTGTGGGTGAGATGGAGGAGCATAATCAATGCCACTCATACAAGCATGAGTCCACACCCTCCACAAACATAAAGCCACACTCTTAAAAATAAAGGTGCTTTAAAAGGTTCTTCACAGCGATGCTATAGAGGAACCATTTTTGGTTCCAAAAAGAACCATTCAGCCAAAGGTTCTTTAAAAAAAACATCTCTTTCTTACCTTTTTATAATCTGAAGAACCTTCTTTCGCCACAAAGACCCTTTTGTGAAACAGAAAGATTCTTTAGATGTTAAAGGGGTCATATGATGCGATTTCAATTTTTCCTTTCTCTTTG